GAAGAGGTGGGGATGCTTAAAGAGAGATGCTGCCTTGGGTAGGTTATTAATGAGTGAGATGCTCTCTGCTAAGTTAGATACAAAAATGCTTAAATGGAAGTGTGTGTGCAAACCTCTCGCTATATAGTAGAGCTCTACATTAACGCACTGCATAAATTGATGATTAGGTAATGTATTTAATTTGAAAAACTGATAAACATCTCATTCTATTGTTATAAGAGTTTAATTTACATGCATTTAAAAAAAAAATAAAATATATATATATATATATATATATTATCAATTAATTAAAAGTAATTGTTAGTATAATTTTTTAAAGTAGCTCTTAAAAACATTAATAAATTTACCATTAAGAAAAAAAAAAATAGTCTGAAATGAAGGGGTTGGTTATGGTGGAGTGGTGTAGGATTTTCAAGTGCCCCTCACAGCAAGAGAGAGCATATAACAACACCTCTTTGTTTAGAGGTAGAACCTATTCTAATTACATATGTATATTCCTTGCTTGCACAATCTCACTGTTTTTGGGATTTATTTCACTTATACAACCTTAATGGGAAAGCATCTTCTGATTACTCCTATGGTTAAATTCCTATTCTTAGAGCCTGTCTTGCATTAGATCTGAAATTTAAAACAATTTGCAACTTATTGAAAATTTGATGCCGTCTTATAGAACATGCATTATAATTTTTCTGGTAACATTATTGCAGAGTTGTTAAGCCAGCTGATGAAGTCTTTGTATCAATAAAGAAACCTCCTCCCTCCAAGTCATGGAAGGTATGGTGTTTTTCTTTTTAAAGTATTGCTTATGCAAATACAATTATGGTGTGCTTGTGCTGGCATCCTCCCGCTAACTGTTTCGAAGGAGGATGTTTGCAACTTATTCTTCTTTTAGACCAAAATGTCCAGTTTATCATTTTTAAAAAGAAAAGGTAAACATCGATGTTTAAGACATTATAGGAGCCTTTGAAGGAATTGGGTAGAAGAAAAGATGATTTGTATTAATTGAATGAAATTGAACAGGATCCAGGAGAAAGAATTCTCCTCCAAGGATTTCCCCCTATTTTTACAAACTTTGTAATTCTCTAAATAAATCTACCTGTCCGTGTAAATAAATGCCCCTAATTAACTGTTTCTACCTAATTTTTCCTTCCATTCTGTCCTAGACATTTACAATGATAATCTTTTAAATTTTTTAAAATATTAATTACTTGCCCTTTCTCATTATTTTTCTCTCTTCCTACTTTTACTTCATTGTTTTTTTTTAAATTTAAATATGCTATGACTCAGAAAGATTCTACTAATGGAAAAACATAAAAGGTGCAGGTGGGCAGTTGTTGAAATTATGATTGTTTGTTTTTGTTGGAATGAAACAATGGTTAATAAAATTGCCACACTCGGAAGTTCTGGACAGCAATTATTAGGCACATTAAACTCAATGAGTATGTTTGCATCCTCCAACATTTTCAGTTTACGATAGTGAGCAGTATACATAAGAAGAAATGTGCTTAAACCCAGGCTTTTGCATAATCATCTTTGACTGTGAAAAAGTTGAAGTTATGATTAAAAATGAAAAAGGGAGGAACGTAGGTTGGTGTTATAAATAGAATGATGTGGTGAAGGGATGAATCTTTGTATGATGGTGAATAGGGAGTTCTGGACGTCTAGTGGAAAAAGATAGAAGTTGGACTCAAAATCTTTTTGCTTTTCAGAACATATTATTATATTACAAAAATACCCATAAATCCATTTTGCTTTAGATGTGTGTGAGAGCTTATTTACTTTTAAGGTGTTGTGTGTTTGTATGTGTGTGCGCGGCGCGCGCACATACCTTTTACAGAACTGTTTTGGAACTCCACATATATGATATATCATTATTCAGGTGAATGAGAAGTTGTTTCCCTGCCAACTATCAAATAAAAACACTGACTTGGCTGAAAAGGCTGTGCAATTAGCTATTGAAACATGGGGAAAGAGATCATTAACTGAGCTTGAAGCAGAGGAGCGCCTATCCTATGCCTGTGAAAAGGTGACAATCTGATGAAGGATGAATTCATAAGTGTAACTAATGCTAGAAATTAGAATGTTTGAGTAACTATTACTTTGTAAGACGAGTAAAGCTTTATTTGATATATCACCTTTGTGAATTTTTCATCTTGTGTTATCAAATTGTCATTATATATTTTTATGTAGGGCCCTGCTCAAGATGAAGTCATTGCCAAGCTGAGAAATGCATTCCTTGAAATTGGTAAAGAATATAAAGTCTTCACTGAGGAAGAGAGGAAGAAGGTCAAATTGTGTCTTGACTAATACTTGCCTTCAGACATTGCTGTTGATACTTTATTAACGATCATTACGACTGCAGGTTGTGGAAGCTGGTGGATTACATGTAGTGGGCACAGAGCGACATGAATCACGTCGAATTGATAATCAGGTTTATTTTTCTTCTCTCCTTTTCCTTGTTGGGTTGAAAGGAGGAGAGAGGAGCTGGGATGGAATGGCTTGTGGCCTTGGACATCTGCACATCTCCTACCCTCTTCAATTATTCTTGCAGCCATAATAGCTAGTCCTACCCCGTCAAATAAATATTCAAACTTGAAATTTTGATTTTTATCCATAAAGTTGCGTGGTCGAAGTGGCAGACAAGGAGATCCGGGAAGCTCACGCTTTTTTTTAAGTCTCGAAGATAATATATTTCGTATTTTTGGTGGAGACAGAATTCAGGTAATGCGTTTGTTATGTTGCTGCTACACTTGGAATTTGATTGCCCAAAACTTTATTAATATTGTGATTTGCAGGGCTTAATGCGAGCTTTCAGAGTTGAAGACCTACCTATTGAGTCCAAGATGTTGACCAAAGCATTAGATGAAGCTCAAAGGAAAGTGGAGAACTATTTCTTTGACATTCGGAAGCAGTTGTTTGAGTATGATGAAGTACTTAACAGTCAGAGGGATCGTGTTTATACGGAGAGAAGACGAGCCCTTGAATCTGACAATCTTCAGTCTCTTCTTGTTGAATATGCTGAATTGACAATGGATGACATTTTAGAGGTAAGTCTTGCTAAAATTATGCTTCTCTTTGTATCTTGATTCGTTGTGAATCTAATAATGCAATCACGATGAATTAGGCAAACCTTGGTTCTGATGCTCCAAAAGACAGCTGGGATCTTGAAAAACTAATTGCAAAAATTCAGCAGTAAGTGAAATCTTTTGATCGTTGTGCTTGATGCGATATTTGGTTTAGTTAAATGCAGAACCTAGCTTTTGTTCCTATGGTGCATTCATGCAAGATCTAATTTCTCTTGTATAGACTCTATTTTAAAAGCTGGACTTAGGAAGGACTCTGGCCTAGCCTAGGCTTATTTACAAAATAAGAAGCATCTCTTGGATATTTGTTTTGAGTTTCTAAATGACTGATTATGTTCTTGTGCATTATTGTTGATGAGGTTTCCTTTATTTGGATACATGATATGCATGTTTTAGTTTAATCCGGATCTAACAATTTTTCTTACAGAAGATATTTTATTTTTCTTCAGATATTGCTACTTGTTGAATGATCTAACCCCTGACTTGCTGAGGGAAAAGTGTTCAGATTATGAGGAATTACGAAACTATCTCCGTCTTCGTGGTCGTGAAGCCTACCAGCAGAAAAGGGTCAGTTTAACAAATAGTATTATTTTGGAATTAAATCAACCATTGTCGTTACGTTTCTTTACCGTTCCTTCAATTAAATAACACATTAAGAGGGGGGGGGGGGGGGGGGGTTT